TAGTAATAAAATTACAGAGGAAAGTATGGTTATGAAAAATTAAATATTATTATGGATTAACAGATTACATATAATGGTTAATCTGCTGAATTAGTATTATCTAATTACTCTTACTATTTCAAGAAATAGATAAGGTCACAAAATCAATAATATTTTAAATTTGATATTTTTGCAATAAAATTATTCCTGGTAGGCCAAGGGATTATCAATTATTATATAAATTATACCAAATTAAACATCAATTATCTGCTTATAAATTCCACGAATTTCTTTTAAGAAAAATATTCTATAACATGTATAAAATAAAAATAATGTAAAAGCTGTAAAAGTGTCAGAAATGGATAATACACCCTGTAGATATTTTGGTTCAAAATAATCATAAATATTTGATTTTATTTGAATAAAAAAAGAAAAATCTTTAGATGGCTTAAAATGCAATTATTTGTAACATGTGTTGTCAGACCTCGTGATTGATCCAAAAGGAAACCCAGGAAAGCATCACAATTAGAATCGATGGTAAATATGTTTGGAAAATAAAATATCCAATATTTCTCTTGAGAGAGAATAGCAGTGATAGTCTTTGGTAAGTGCCTACACATCAAACAATACAAATATCGTCTGTCAGTAAATTGCATTATAAATAGGTTATTAGGTATTGATAATGCATTAAAAGTGTTAATTATCATATAAATTGTACATTTGTTTCAATTTAACAAATAAGGCGTTAAGATTAGTAGCAAACCTGTAGCTAATTTCTCCTTGCGGTCAGTGGTTTCGTGGCCAAAAATGGTGAATTGAGGCAATTTTGCATTATCCACACCCGTCACCGGATCTTTCATCCAATACATCACTACATCTGATACCGTATATCCGTCTAAATATGGTATCAATTAATTTGTTATAACAACACTTTTTAAATTGTAATTTATTCATTAGTATATTGTGATAATGTAATGAGCATTGAATATACTGTACATGTTGTATACAGAGCTATACTAATATTGAATAATTTACTAATTCTTTGCCAACGCAAGAATTTGTGTTATAAAGACTTCCATTAGAATAGGCTATACTTTAGTTAGTTTTTACTTTTATTTGTTGTTTGCATATATTTAACTAGTAATTAATGGCTGTCTATTACACTCGCATTAATACTTTGCTACACATTATAACATTAATGTAATTGAAATGAAAAAATTCAATACGAGTTCATTGTATGGAAAAAGCAATGCGATAATTAAATTTAGGTTAAACTTATAAAATTCATTATAAAAAATAAAAATCAATAAAATAATTGATTAAAAATTTGGTGACACTTACAGCTCTCGATCTCAACCGTACAGTTCTGTGAGTCTAATGGGTAATAGTGGAGATCCATCATACAGGCCAGGGTTGTGGTGAATCTGGAGNAAAAATCAATAAAATAATTGATTAAAAATTTGGTGACACTTACAGCTCTCGATCTCAACCGTACAGTTCTGTGAGTCTAATGGGTAATAGTGGAGATCCATCATACAGGCCAGGGTTGTGGTGAATCTGGAGTTTTTATATTCATTAATTCAACGAAATTACTTAATGTAATCGATTTGGGAATGAAATATCATTATGCAAATAATGTGCAAAAATGCTGCAATTATGGTATACCTCATGCCATAAGCGATATACCCATCGGACTTAAGTCTAACCATTTTATTCTTCTCCGTCACTTCGTGGAGGAATGAGTTCTTGTCGTTTGCAAAACTAGAAATATATTTTTATTATACTTTACTGGACTATAATTTTATATTTAGAAAAATCACTCGTTTTTCTATAATTCACAGCTAAAAAGTTGTACATATCATATAATAATATAATTAAGTTGATATAAATTTTGTTAGTTAAAGAATCCTGAAAACACGAAATTATGTATTTTAAAACCAATATTTGAATTTGAAGTAAGCTTTTAAATTATGTGTAATTTATAGAAAGTGTAGTTTATATAATAACTTATATTTTATACGATAAGATCGTAAAATATTAAATTGCAAACTGTGTATGACTTGATGTTGAAATTTATGGAAATTTTGATATGTTTTCTTAACTCATTACATATTAAGCACTTCTATAGAAATAGTATATTTAATATAATAAAAGTAATTCTAAACAAATAATTTTTTCGTACAGACTTTATAAGGAAATGTTTTTTACTGTATTATATTTTTATTTATTTTTGAGTAAACAAAAGCATTTGATAGAAATGATGATAAGTATAGTGACTCACAACGTGTCGGGAACCCATATTCTCTCCGCAAAATCACCGGAAAGGGTCAGCTCGTAGTTGTTCTCACTAAACGACAATCTCTCGTCCTTCCAGTATTGGTTCAGATATAACGTAATCGTATAGTCCTATCGATAATTCATTTAAATCATTACATGTTTTAATTAATGTTTTAGTATTATATTTTATTAAAGTAACAGAATAATATTACATTAATTTAAATTCTATCATGATATTTATATTTGCAATTGAATTATAAATAATAATTACATATAATTCTTGATAAGTTATATAATAAAATACTATTTATAAGATTCACAGTAATAAAATTATAGTAATTTTAAATAAAATATTCATGATATTTAAATTTTGAATTTGAATTTTTGTTATTTGAATTTACTTTGACTTTTAATACAAAATGTACAAAATGTTTGTGCACTGGACATAACATAACAGAGATCTTATAACAGCATAAAATGAAAATTAGTTTATAATTGATTCCTCAGATAAAATACTAATTAAACCATATTAGGGATTAAATGTTAATTAAAATCAACATTTAAACCATTCATTTAAGTTTTAGCCAAACTTAATTACTATTAATTACCAAAATAATAAATGTTACATCTTAATTTATTATACAATATCGTTACGAATCCTGCAGTAAATTTAATTTAAATTTTATTATAAAGTACAGTATTTTCTTAACAAATTATAAAAGTCTGAATTGTTATTTATATTTGACTTATATATCTCTTTCTGTGTACAAAATGTAATAGAATTTTGATTGAAATGGGATTGAAGTCACAAAAACACAAGACTTAAGTCTAACCATTTTATTCTTCTCCGTCACTTCGTGGAGGAATGAGTTCTTGTCGTTTGCAAAACTAGAAATATATTTTTATTATACTTTACTGGACTATAATTTTATATTTAGAAAAATCATTTGTTTTTCTATAATTTACAGCTAAAAAGTTGTACATATAATATGAAAAATTAATATTAATTAAGTTGATATAAACTTTGTTAGTTAAAGAATCCTGAAAACACGAAATTATATATTTTAAACTAATCTTTGAATTTGAAGTAAGTTTTTAAATTATGTGTAATTTATAGAAAGTGTAGTTTATATAATAACTTATATTTTATACGATAAGATCGTAAAATATTAAATTGCAAACTGTGTATGACTTGATGTTGAAATTTATGGATATTTTGATATGTTTTCTTAACTCATTACATATTAAGCACTTCCATAGAAATAGTATATTTAATATAATAAAACCAATTCTAAACAAATAATTTTTCGTGCAGACTTTATAAGGAAATGTTTTTTTACTGTATTATATTTTTATTTATTTTTGAGTAAACAAAAGCATTTGATAGAAATGATGATAAGTATAGTGACTCACAACGTGTCGGGAACCCATATTCTCTCCGCAAAATCACCGGAAAGGGTCAGCTCGTAGTTGTTCTCACTAAACGACAATCTCTCGTCCTTCCAGTATTGGTTCAGATATAACGTAATCGTATAGTCCTATCGATAATTCATTTAAATCATTACATGTTTTAATGTTTTATTTCNACCGGAAAGGGTCAGCTCGTAGTTGTTCTCACTAAACGACAATCTCTCGTCCTTCCAGTATTGGTTCAGATATAACGTAATCGTATAGTCCTATCGATAATTCATTTAAATCATTACATGTTTTAATGTTTTATTTCATGTTTTAGTATTATATTTGATTAAAGTAACAGAATAATATTACATTAATTTAAATTCTGTCATGATATTTATATCTGCAATTGAATTACAGTATAAAGAATAATTACTTATAATTCTTGATAAATTATCTAATAAGATACTATTTATAAGATTCGCAGTAATAAAATTATATTAATTTTAAATAAAATATTCATGATATTTAAATTTTGAATTTGAATTTACTCTGACTTTTAATAGAAAATGTACAAAATGTTTGTGCACTGGCCGTACATAACAGAGATCTTATAACAGTATAAAATAAAATTTAGTTTATAATTGAGTTCATTCTTTAGATAAAATACTAATTAAACCATATCAGGGATTAAATGTTACTTAAAATCAACATTTAAACCATTTATTTAAGTTTTAGCCAAACTTAATTACTCTTAATTACCAAAATAATAAATATTACATTTTAATTTATTATACAATATTGTTACGAATCCTGCAGTAAATTTAATTTAAATTTTATTAAAGAGTACAGTATTTTCTTAACAAATTATAAAAGTCTGAATTGTTATTTATATTTGACTTATATATCTCTTTCTGTGTACAAAATGTAATAGAATTTTGATTGAAATGGGATTGAAGTCACAAAAACACAAATCGGAAATAAAATCTCAGCGCCTGAATAGCAAGCCTTCACTACAACTGTATATACAGTTATAGTGTAAAGACATTCACTACAAACAAATTTATTCCTGTTATTGGAAACAAGTTCTAAGAGATTCGTTAGAGTGAAAAATAATCAATTTATTTATTTAAGTCAAGCGTTTCAGTCAGACTTATACTTCTTTAGGGCATTATATACTACTCTGTCGTATAGTGTATATACTTTACGATATTGTATGAAATGCATGACAATCTCGGAGAGAGAGTGAGAGAGAGAGAGAAGATAGGATGTTGTGAAGACATAGCATATCATTTACATAATACATCATATTTTAAATATTTGTTAACATTTTTCACTATTTTGTTGCATTTCTTTATTCAATAAAAGAATCATTGCTTTAAGAATATTCACACATATTCTGGTCTATTGTCACACGTTTTTCGTTTCAATAAAATATATACACTTTTTATTCCGTTCGCAAAATTATCTAAAACTAAAATACAGAACAGATTAGTCTTTCAAATGAAAGAAATTCTGTTTAAATACAAATATATTGTATAATAATGTATGTGTTTAAAGATTATCGTAAAACACATTGTTTTTAGACTTTCATTTAATCCCTATTATATGAAATAATGTGACAACTAGTCCTTCTCCTCCCCTCTCTTTCTCCCTCTTCAACCATATATCAAATATTATTCAATAAAATACTAACTCTTCACTTTATAAATTCAAGTATTATTTAAAAATTTTACAACTAATTTAAATATAATATTATGTAAATAAAAATTTTATATTCTGGCGATTATAATTGCAAAACTAATTAATTAAAATATAAACTATTATTTAATACTTGATTACAATAGGATTCGTAGTTTTAGAAAATGAGTTTCAAAAAACGAGTAGAAAATTATCGATTTCTAGAGCAAAGAAATGTTTCCATTTAACGAGATTTCTGTTATAAATTTTATATATTAATAAAACGCTTGAAAACAGTATTTTAATAACTATTCATCAGAAACTTCACTCTTAAGATGTGATTTGAGAGCATATTATAGTATCGATTGCAAGAGAATTACCATTCCTTATGATTATACAGTATATACAACGAGTCGCTCACAAGCATTGCATTGCATTTCAATTATGTTTACCAATCCTTACAGTTAAAGCAATGCTCGCATTGATTGCTATAATTTCAATCAATTCAATTAAACTTCAGATTAACAGATATCACACGCGTATGTAATTATTGCTCTCAAATGTTAAAACAATTGCTTTATATAATGTCAAGAATGCCATTATTACCGGTACTATGTTTTTGGGTTATATTGATATTCCTTAATAAATATTATTTATTCTTAAATTGATAGTTGACTTGTAATCTCATGTTTTATTTCCATAAATATGTATTATTATGATAGAAAATGTATACAGTGCAACCTCTCTTGAGGAAGCACCATTGTTACTTGTCAGGGAAACACTTTAAAAATATTTGACAGATTTCCTATACATAGAATATTAACACAATTGGGAAACTTCTATCATAGGAAATACCCCTCCATAGGAAACACTAGGCATGCATCTGCCCGTTTTCTATGGAGAGTTTAAACTGTGTATTTATTTTCATATTCAGTTATTATACGTGTGTGTTAGTTGAAATTATCATACAATTTGAAAATGTATGAAAAGTTTATATGTTTGTAAGAAAATTTTTATATCAAGAATTTTTAAATATTCTTTGTCTACTTGTTATATAAGACTTTATATAATAACACAATTTTATAAATAAATTCAATTCATTTTCTGTTTAATTTCTTAAGCATTATTCAATCGTTAGTTTAAAAGCAAAATTTAAAAACACATTTGTATAACAACATAAAATAATAGTGAAAATTACAAACCATATTGACTTCAGAGATACTGTCAAAACTTGCAATCGACAAATCCATCCCAACTTCTAGTGGATGTCCTGATAATTAAGATACATAATTAAAATATATACTGTGCATACATATATAATATATAGTGTAAAATACTAGTATCTAAAATACATATTAGTTTATTTTAAAATGCTAGTCTATTTAAAAAATAACTTTTGTTTATTGCTTAAAAGTATCTTTTCTTTTGATTAATCAACAAAATTATATCAAGAATTACATGAAAATTGAAATGAAAATGATTTAAATGAAAAATTATTCACTGGTCTTATATAACGACATAAAGAAGTTTTGTGCAAAGTCTGAGCTAACAATTATTGAGTGCCTCAAGTATGATGTGTTTCAGCCATCAGTGCCGACAGGCCTTCACAATCAAAGCACTGATTCAGTGATTCTTCGCTTCTTTTTTCTGATGATAAGACCAATGAAAAAATGAAAGAACAGACTCTTCAATAACTCAGTGCTCAGAGTTATAGATATGCTTACTATAAGAATATACGGTAAACACATGAAGTGATCTCAAATAATAGCAAGAATCAAATTTTGAAATTGCGAACTACTGTACATTACAAACATTTGTATAGTTTTGTTAAACTATGTAATTATAAATTTTATTTCTTTAATAACATTTTTGTTAGATATAAAAAAGATTAAATACTGTAAAGATTTAATAAAATAGTTTCTCAAATCTCTATAATAATAGCCAATCCACAGGAAGTTTATAATTAAATTATATTTAATTGAGTATTTGTGTATTTTAGAAAACAATTTTATACTTAATAAGTTTTATTTAAAAAGTACTAACATTGAGAATATTTTCGATAAAAACATTTAAATACAGAGCAATATAAAGACTACAAAGCAATAAAAGGGTTTATGTCTACAATATATCACTCAAATGACCGGAAGAATGAGATTCTGTTTTGTCGGCCAAATAATGGGAAGAGATTTGTGTTCATCTCTTAATATAAGTCTTCCGATTATATTGTTTGCCAAAATTCTGTTGTATTGCAAAACATTGTATTGTATTTTATTGATAAACATCAACACAATTGGCATGTTTTGAATAATACAAATCTCAACTCAAAATATTATTATTAATTGCAATTTTATTGATTAAAAGACTGAACAAATAATTTCAAAATCAAATATTTCTCATAACAAGCAATTGAAGTATTAATATTAAATATACTGACTGTATAATAGTGTATATAATTAATTAGTAGGAAAAAAGTCATACCAGTGCTTAACAATAAAAAATATGATTACAACTGACATATTCTGTTGAATTGGGAACAATGGATTGCGCAATGAATAGTCTGACAACAAGATATTTCTCAGAAATTTACCTTCCTAGAAATATCAATTTGATTTTTACAAAGATTATTTATGAGATTATTATTAAATGAGAAACTTTGCAACCTTTTTAAATGTTTATATTAATAGTGGAGTAAATTAATCAAATAAATAAATAAACCATTTTTAAATAAAATAAATTAATATAAAGCATACTTTTCAACAAATTAAGTCAATTAAATTTATAAATCAAAACAAAATATGAAAAATCTAATACTTTTTATATACAATTCATTGAATTATTATGTGTTGTGAGAGAAGCCCTGGGATTAAGCCATTTCGAGAAGAAGAGCACACATAAAGTTTTGCTGAAGTATTGATCGATTCTCTGGTTAACAAAGGCTACCGATTCAATAGTATTGCTGACACTATCAAAGAGGACCTATACTTTAATACACGCACTCCTCGTACACAACACTCACATATTTTCACATATATTCTACTATTTTATGCTTGAATGCAGTTTTCTATGTTTTCGACCCATACTTAAGAATATGGTATGAAATTATTATTATTATTATTATACAGTATATACTTATACTGTTGTATATATTTATAGTTTAGATAATATAATACAATGACTTTATGTTTCTTATTATAACGTAATTCTCTATTTATAAAGTAATAAATAATTTAAGCAATTATTTATATACAGTATATTTAATTTAATGTAAAACATAAAAATACTTTTGAGTTAAATTATGAATGAATTTATTGTAAAAGCATTCATTGAATATATAATATATTATAATTTATTATTTTTTTAATAACATTATATTCAAAGAGCAATCTATCATATATTGAAAGCTCACTACAATGCAAATGACAGATCATTTTTTACCGGTATGCTTCTTCTCAATTATACAATAGTTTCATAACATTTTTAGGTATTATAGTTAATATTTATTATCGGTTAACTATTATGAATACTAAAATTTTATTTAAAATATTTCAAAATAAATATATTGATAGAAATTAAGTTTTCTTTCTTTGAATAAAACTGATTCTGTGCTCAAATAAAACAAGAATTAAATTAAATGTGTAAATAATTTAATAAAATCACTTCTATTTATTACAAAACTGATTTATAACTCATTTTCCGTACTTTCAATACACTTTTTTTTATTAAATTAAGCCAATTGTGTATTAAATCAATTAAACTCTTTTATTAGGCAAACGTGATATACATCCAAATTAATATACAACACAAAACCTTTTCTTAATAAATTCGACTTTATTTAATCTAAATAAATTGCATTATTATATCAGGATTATTGATTGCATCTATGTTTTATAAAGTTATTTATTATATAATCTCTACCATGATTTATATAGTTAATTTATTAGTTTCAAATTACATGTGTCTCTAAGATTATATAAATATTGTAAACATTTAAATTATAAAGAAAACTATGACATTGTTTCTATGATATTATTACTACAAAATCTTTAATATAAGTTAATAATCAATTATGTATTTCACATGTTTTGCGCAGAATTAAAATTAATCACTTTATTAATGTTTTACTTGTAAGTCATACGTAAACTTCAATGTATAACGTAAAATTAATATTTTATGGTTAATAGCATTATATAAATAAAATGCTAAATTACACTAGACTTACAATTCTTGACAATTTAATCTTTATTAACCATATTTTGTGTAATTTGTATCCAAAAACGTCGATATAATGAATGTTTAACATTTGACAGACATATTTTACGAAATGACTATTTCAAAGGACTAATGATTGTTTAAATTATATGAAAATGTTTTATTATTCATACATAAAGCAATTTTTAAATACATGGATTTAATTGATGCGTTCAGTGTTGGGTCATATTATGAACGATTATAACTTAATATTCAGCAATATATTAAAGAATATTGATAAATTTAGTTTAAAAATCATTCCTTTACGCGTAAACTTGTTCATTTAATCAATTGTTATC